CTTAGATCATATATATATATATACACACACACACACATACACTAAGTGTATTTTAATATTAATATATATAATTACATATTTATATATATATATATATATATATATAAAATACACGTAGAATGATATTAAATATATATATATATATATATTTGTCCCAGCACTCAATGCTCCCGGTCATTTAATGCTCCAGTGCTGTCTCCAGCCAAATTGTATACGATACCAGTAGAGAGCACTCAGGAGTCTTTCAAAGTAAATTTCATCTGTTGCTTTATTGAGCAATTACAAATTCACACAACGTTCCAGTCGACGTTTCAGTCTGTAAAATACTTTTTTCAAGACAATTGTGTATGTGAGATGGATACCTCATATACAAAAAATGCAGTGATCCTATTTGAAGGTGAACAACGTTCAGAGTGATGTCATTAATGACGTAAACATGTTTGAATTACGTAAAAAATTGAAGCTAACCCTATGTGTAACCGGTATGTGAAACATGTTCTCGTGTAGATAAGGTAGAAAGTAATAAACGATAAATAACTATAAGAAAAAAGTATAAACAAATGTTTCAACCCTAACCAAGGAAACATAGATACATAGTACTTATCGTTATTAGCTAACTATTAAAGGACCGCTATAGTGCCAGGAAAACATACTCGTTTTTCTGGCACTATAGTGCCCTGTGGGTGCCCCCACCCTCAGGGTCCCCCTCCCTCCAGGCTCTGGAGAGAGGAAGAGGTTAAAATCTTACCTTTCTCCAGCGCCGGGCAGGGAGCTTTCCTCCTCCTCTCCTTCTTCCTAGCGACGGCATCGGCTGAATGCGCATGCACGGCAGGAGCTGCGCGCGCATCCAGCCAGTTCATAGGAAAGCATTTACAATGCTTTCCTATGGACGCTGGAGTCTTCTCACTGTGATTTTCACAGTGAGAAGCACGCAAGCGCCTCTAGCGGCTGTCAATGAGACAGCCACTAGAGGCTCTAGAGACTGGATTAACCCTCAGTTTAAACATAGCAGTTTCTCTGAAACTGCTATGTTTATTAAAAAAAGGGTTAACCCTAGCTGGACCAGTCACCCAGACCACTTCATTAAGCTGAAGTGGTCTGGGTGCCTATAGTGGTCCTTTAATTCAGTTATATAGCAAAATATTGTCAGTACAATTTTAAAGCATTATACGATATGGACTACTTCCATCATGGAGTTACGGCAAATAACTGTACTATATTAATGCATTCTGTAAAACCTAGCTCAATCATATATTATCTTCTAGGTAAAAAACAATAGAATGAGTTCTCATTTAAACCAGATGAAGATAATGTTTCCAACGTGTATATCCAGAAAGCCTTGCGTCTGAGTAACAGGATATCACGATCTCCTCCTCTGGGTGAGATGGGTATGTGATCTATTCCCATACAGCGAAGTGAGGAAAGGCTATGTCCCATCTCAAGGAAATGCCGGGTGACTGGAGTGCTTGCAGTACCGCTCAGTAGTGCTGAACGTATAGTAGACCTGTGACCCTGCATGCGTTCCCTTAGGTCATTAGATGTCTTGCCCACGTAAGTGAGACCACAGGGGCATATAATTCTATACACAACATGTGTGGTCCTGCACGTAATCCGGTGTTTAATTGTGTAACCTTTCCAGATTTTGGGTGACAGAAAGTTTTATCCAGTATCATAGAATTGCACGCCAGACAGTTTAAACAGCGAAAACCTCCTGCTTTTGTCACTTTCTGTAATGACTGTGTTGTGGACACCATATCTGTGTGCATCAAATAGTCTCTCAGATTTTTCCCTTTTCTATAACTCATAATGGTTTGTTTTTTTAAATACGGGAGGCAGGGATGAGTCATTGTATAGAACATGCCAATTTTTTGGAATAGTCAGTTTTTGGGACTTTGGATGAAATGCCTGAGGGAAAATGAATCGATCACCGAGGTCTTGATGAATCCTGTTTTCTACATTTGGTTTTATCGCCTTTGTGTATGCTACATTCAAAACCGTTTTTGAATATCCTCTTTGTAGGAATTTTTGTAACATATCCTGAATCTGTATCTTCGCCTGGCTGTCATCTGAGTTATTGCGCAATACTCTTATGAATTGGGAGATTAAATAACTTATTAATCATTGGGAATCATCATGGAGGCTTTCCTGACGAAAGCAGGAGCTTACCTGGAACAAGTTGAAGTTATACAGATCATAGATGAACAAACCGTAGCTATATTGTGGGCTCAGACGGACACTGACTTACCAGCATCATCGGATGCAAAAGATATTATCCGTGAGTTACAAAAACTTAAACAGAAAGAAATAGATCTTGAACTGCATGCAATCTATTTATCAGAATACTACCGTATGAAGAAAATCCCCAGAGGCTTTAAATTAAGAATATTCCCACTATTGGTAGAAATAATCCAGAAGTCTGTCGCAAGTGGATTGGTGTATTAAACAAATGTTCCTTGGATCTCATGCTGGTAGTCATTGAAGCATGTGGCTAAGAAGGCAGGTTTATGCTGCATAAAACTACAGGTCATTTAAAAAAAAAAAAAAATTAAAACTAAATAGAATTCAGCAATGACGAAAAATACACCAGATCAAGGATGTAAAAACCAACAAATGAGCACATGTTCTATTGATTCCCATCGTCTTTAACATAACACAGACTGCAATCTAACATCACTAGTGTATGCCCAGCCTGACCTCTAATCTCAGTAATACACCCACAGGCTGCTGTTGAGCTAGATACCTGGCCATGCTTCACAGAGATGTTGAGTGATGATGCACTTCACCAGTGTTCAACTATGACAGGAGTGTTTGTGGAGGGTAATCGGGAGCATCACAAAGATATTACTCTCAGTGAAATCTTCAGCAGAAGTGTTTCCTACAAGCCGCTGGTAAAGAGGGCCTAAGGGGCAGCTTTGAGGCATCCTACAATCCATAGGCCACAGGATTGCTGCCAATTTTGTCCTGCATTAAATATGGCACTGCTTGGCAAGCTGCAGTATGGCAAAAAAAATTCCAACAGAAGCACTTCTCTATCCTGTCCAAACTATCTAGCAAGAAACACAAGTTATCTGTTGCTGGGAGTTAGAGGTAAGTATTTTAAAAGACAGGCTTGTCCTACAAATACATGCCAACTAGCCATGGCACTTCACCAAGGTACTGGGGAGATTTCTAAAAGTCTTAGGAAGGAAGGCAACTGAATCATTAGTAACATTCCCAGATGTTTATAAACATGCCCAATTATAATGTACCCTAAAAATGATTCCAAGATACAACAAAAACAGCAGATATGTTAACTGTGGCAGAACCAGCCTCGCCACTGGGAATTGGAGAAGATGGTGGTCACAAAGGTCCATTTTAAACCAATGGAAATAATTGTCAGATTTTTGAGTATGTTTGTATTTAGAGTATGCTGATTCTGAAAATGTAAGTTATGTGAATGTGATGTATACTTTTAATGTTGTGAATTTTGTGTAAAACTGTATTTTCCTGCCTGTGATAATTAAGTTAGTCTATTGTGTTGAGATAATTGAATCACAGGCAGAGGGGAGGATTTTGTGTGTAAGTGCTGGGAGTGTCTGTGGGTATTGTACGTATTGATTGGTTGTTTGCAAAACCCTGTAGGCAGTACTATGTGTGTAAAATGGGCATAAAAGCAGAGGGTTTGAATAAAAGTTCAGTTCTACTTCACCCTCAATTTGGAGTGTCATCTCTTATTGGGGGAATCTGCTATAAGGGATTGCTATGCTTGTCATACTCCCTTACTAAATCACTAAGCTCTTGTAAGAGCTTGTTCCTGCCTTGCTCTCTAGAGGAGTCTATGGTGTCTGCTGCAGTGCTTGGAGTCCTCAGGAAGCGCTAGGAGCATCCTTCAACGGAGGTACCCAGTCGGGGTGCCCGTCGATCCGTTACATTAACTATTTCTAATTACATTAAAATGTCCCACGTAAACTCCCATAAAAATGGTTTACTTTTTTTTTTTTAAATTTTTTTTTTAATTAAAGGAGCATTACAATTACAATCATGTATTCCTACCATTATAGCACTTTACTATCTGTTTAAGTCCCCAGACCTTTCTCAGAATTGAGTAAAAAGGTTTTAAATTTACCTTTTCTCCATTTCCGTGCTGGTCTTGCCACTGCTGGCCCTGTCTCCATTCGTGATAATCTCAACCAATCCAATGCTTTCCTACAAGAAATCAATGCATATCTATGGGGGGCGGAAATTCAGCTTAAAGGGACACTCCAGGCACCCAGACCACTTCTGCCCATTGGAGTGGTCTGGGTGCCAACCCCCACTACCCTTAACCCTGCAGCTGTAAATATTGCAGTTTACTAGACAGCCACTAGAGAGCACTTCCTGATTTCTAGCACAGGTTTTCTGTGCTAGAGCGTCGCTGGACATCCTCACGCTGTGTGAGGACCTCCAGGGTCGCTCAATTCCCCATAGGAAAACATTTTCATGCAGCACATGAGCATTAAGTCTCCCCCACCGACGTCATCACGCATGTGTGGCCGCCGGAGCTTGGGCGGATCCAAAAACACAGCCGAGGGACATCGGCGGGGGTCACAGGTAAGTCACTGAAGGGGTTTTCCCCCCTCCAGCAACATAGGATGGGTGGTGGGAGGGAGAGGGTACCTGCAGTGCCAGGAAAACAGTGATAATCTTAACATATATTTTGGCCACAACGTAAATACTGCCAGTACCCTTCAAGGCACAATGCAAACACCTGGATTACCCCAAGTCTACCACTATTTTTTGTGAAGTGTATGTGTACTACAGGAGTAACAGCAGGGACGATTACGAAAGGCTATATTGCCGTTATGTAGCCTGTCCATTACAGTTGCAGAATTAAAAGATTTGCATAATTAAATATAACAAGCCTCCCCCAAAGCAGTGGTGTTTCTGAAGTAAAATAAATCCCTTAAAAATATAGAACTGTACTATAGTTTCCAGCAGATTATTAAAATGTGTATTAATGCGCAAAAATAAAAACCAAAACAGAGCAATAAGCAGATTTTATTTTATTTACACAACATATTTCAAAGTTTAAAATTTACAGACTGCTTTCATTGAAATGGCAGAAAAAACATTTTTGGCGACTGAGGAAAGTAAAGAGGTTATTAGTCCTGATATAATAATTTAGATTAAGCACAAACAATAGCGGTATATTAAAATGCTTATGTGCACTGCTTCAAGGAAGTGGTATATGTTATTAGTACAGCTTCACAGGACATTGGTTACAGGCAGCCTAACAACGCAGTTTAAGTGCGGTTTACAAGACCTTACTTTGCCTTTTGTCTGCAGATATGCACATGTACTTGTAAGCACTGAGACTATAATTTTATACTCTTAAAAATGTCTATGAATATATTGGTAGATATTGCCGAATGATCTGACAAGCTCAGTAAGTTGTTGCTTTAATATAATCTTTCAGGAGTGTAAAAATATAATTCAGATGTAGATTATTCTTAATGTAACAGGTAGTTCAAGACCGTAAGCACACACACACACACGTACAGCCAGGTGTGCTATGTACTCGGGACAGCGAATCAGTAAATATACCATTAGTCTTGGAGGGCCGAACAACGTATGAAAAAAAAAAAAAAAAAAATGTAACTCTTGCTAAATAGCTTGAGGAAACGGATATTGTTGTGCATCGACTTTATCACATATCAGTACAGCACACAAAATGTAATTTTTTATTTTTTTAAATTTTTTTAAGGAATGAGGTTTTCTTCATAACCTTTCACTTTTTTGTGTTAGTGTTTGCTCAAACACAAAACCAGAAAGCACAAAGACATATCCATACATATTTTAATAAAATTAAGTTACAATATATAAACTTGCAATAAGCTATGAATGGGCCAGGTATGTTGCAATAGTGGGGGTACCTTTTTTCATTCACCAGCCAACTTGTAAACATATTTATCCAAGTATGTGATAGTTTAGTATTGATAAGAGGAGCTTTGCATATGCAATGTTCCAACATGACTGGCAAACCTTGCCTTAGTCCACTTGCTCTGCAGTTGAGCATTCTATTGAGCAGGCATACTGGATGGATAGATTGTCAATAGCAGGGTAACTGGTAGGTCGTCATCCAGGTCTTAAGGTCTGGCAAAGCACTATGGATGTTTGATAGGAGGAACATACTTCTCAAGTGTTGTATAATCTCGACCGTAATATGGTTATTCACTAATTGAGAACTGTTAGAAATACAAAGTAAATTTCAAATATAAGGCCAAAGTAACCAAACTGGAAGCACAGCTGACGTTGAGACATTTTTTCCCCACTTAGACTACTTTGGCTTTACATTTAATTCTCAACATTTTTCACTTCAGTGAATAATCTGGTAAGAATGCTAGTCACTGGGGTCACCAGGCCTGACAAGTACGTTGTAATTTTTTCCTGCTAAGTTGCTTTCTGTCACTGTAAATGAATCAGGTCCATGTTAATATGTTAGGAGCATATACAATGATGAAATTAGGTGGAACCAGTAATGTAAAGCTTATCAAACCACAGATTGAGCCCAATTATCCGCAGTATAAGGAAATACCTGGATGGAAAAAGTCTTAAACCAGATACGGAAGATACCTTTGCAAGTCGCCTCATTTACAAAGAGTATACTTGGGACAATGCGGACTAGTTTGGATTATAAGGACCAATTTTATCATGTTGCCCCACTGTGCAAGTAATATATTCCAGTGCAGGGATATAATAGGTTTAATTTACACAAACAACCCCTTAACTCTCAAGTGGCAGAATAATATGTAGTTATGCTCACATGAATCGCACTTTAGGTGAAAAACCCTAGAAGCAAAATTAACCCGCAGTAGTGGTTTCTGTTTAAAACTTTATCTTGCTTAAACATTCAGGCATAAAAAAAATGTGCTTTAATAGAAAGTTTAAAATCAAACCAAACAGAAAATGGAACCTTGCTGAGTGATTTGTTTCCGTACAGATTCTTTCGCCTCACAAAAAGGGGAGAAAGTAACACCATTAAAATATTCTATCTTTTGACAAGGCAATCACACAATTTTACAAATAAACTCGATCTGTATCCAGAACTTCAAAGATAAATTAGACACCACTTTCAGTAACAGCAAAACCAAGGGGCTACATTTTTGGGGCTAGAATAGATATTTAACATCATCCTCTGCAATGGCAGTTTTTGATCCTTAGAGAGACAATGTTGAATTACTACAGTATTGAAAGGAACAATGCTGCTTTTTTAACATTTGTGGAAATACAAAAACCGCACATAAAGAAGACACAAAAAGCAAATATTTCTAGCAAGGCATTATTACAGGATACAAATGTAAAAATTGCAAACTGGCATAACAAGAAATAGACTTTTTATTATTATATACATTTATTTAATTTTTATTTTAGCAACAATCAGTTTAAGTTAGTGGTCTTATTTTTCTATATTCCTGTAAAACAGCACAATACAGATTCTGCAAGCCTTCTTTTTCCTTTTTTTTTTTAAATAATCTGAGCTTTTTTCTTGCTGCAACACATCAGAAATGTTTTAAATCTGGTAGTTTAAACAGTTTATAAAATGTGGGTTACATATTTTCTGTATTTGAGGGCACAAAGCTCACAAACACATGAGAAAACAATCACACCAACCACTTCTACGGTGCAATTCAGTTAAAAGTTCTAAAGATTTTTTTTTTTTCCATAAACCTTTTACTTTGGGAAATTTCAGAGCTTGGCTGATCTAGGTGAGGGTTCACCGAAAAGTTAGAAAAGTTTTTATCAAAACGGAATATGCAAGAAACGCAGGCTGTCCCCAATTGTATTTGCGAAACTTAACAGTTTGTTGTGATCTGTTCTAGCTCATTCTGCAATGGCACGTTTGTGGTACTTGAAATTACAACAGTAGAGAAAGGCAAAAAACACAACACATTCATAATCTGGATAACCTGGAAATATTTCTGTTTTTGTGACTTAAAAAAAGGCTAGTGACAAAAAAGAAAAAAACCTAAAAAAAAATAAAGTAAAAGTCACAAAAGACAAACACTTCCACAAAGTAAGGCAAATAAACATATTTAAAAGGTGTTCATGCACATCTATAGCTAATTAGAATGAGAGGTCCTGAGAATTGAGGCAAAAAATGAATTTCCTGTATAATATTATAATATACATACATATTTCAGTGACCTTAAGGCTGCAGATGTGACGCGTGTTTTCAATAGAGCAATTATTTGGCTTACAACAGGACTGTGTAATAGCAAAGTGTGGACACACGCAATAAAACCAAGAAACATGTTCTTTCACCTCTTTCCTTGAAGTGGCTATACAAACACGGCCATTGATGGAAGAATGTAAAATCTGCGCGTTTTAAACCATTTTTTGTTTACTATTTTATTGCACTTTGCAGATTGCTGGACTGATGTTAACCTGTTTTGAAATGGTATAGCAGTCTCTGAATCTGGAGCCCATGTCACCAGTAGAAGGATCTGGATAAAAAGTTTGCTGCAGTGCTTAGCCAACTGCTTGCATTGTCTTGGTGAACCCCGACACGCGACACTGCCTTATCTTGTTCCTTCGATGAGGATTCATCCTCCGGCAGGTAGTCTGGTAAATCTGTATTCTGTTCAACTTCCACTGCGTTGTCTTGAAATGGAACTAATAGCTATCAGGGGGAAACAAAATAAAATAAAATAAAAAAATAATCACAAAACATTTTTATACATACAAACAAGAGTTGAATGAAATAAAATGATATTTTTTTTAAAATAAAACTGCTTTTAAATTAATCAAATAAAAGGCATGGTAAGAAAATATTCCAAATAGCCTTGACGATCTCATGCGGTACCCCCAGTAAAAAGATATACCTGCTTTCATTTTAAATTTAAACCCCACTGTTGAAGGAGCACTATAGGGTCAGGAACACAAACATGTAATCCTGACCTATAGGGTTAAAACCACCATCTAGCCACTTTGGTCCCCTCATGCCTCTAAAAATAAAGTAAAATCTTACTTGAATTGAAGCCTGCAGCTGCATAGTTTGTCCCAGGTTCCTTTAAACCTGCCCACTGACATCTTAAGAAGTGGTGGCCTGAGCCAATCACAATGCTTCCCCATAGGATTAGCTGAGACTGACAAGGAGGCAGATCAGGGCAGAGCCAGCATGATTCAAAAAACAGCCCTGACCAATCAGCATCTCCTCATAGAGATGAATTGAATCAATGAATCTCTATGAGGAAAGTTCAGTGTCTGCATGCAGTGGGAGGAGACACCGAATGTTTGGATGCATTTCAGGCAGACATGACCCAGGAAGGATCTCTAACAGCCATCTAAGGAGTGGCCAGTGAAATTATCACTAGGCTGTAATGTAAACACTGCATTTTCTCTGAAAAGACAGTGTTTACAGCAAAAAGCCTGAAAGTAATTATTCTACTCACCAGAACAAATTCAATAAGCTGTAGTTGTTCTGGTGACTATAGTGTCCCTTTAAGCTTTGCATGCTGTCACCACAGCCCAAGCTGGTCCCTAGAGATGCTATGCCAGCACATAATATCCAGCTTATTTAACATATCTGCTCGATAGCACCCTCCTGATGCTAAAGAAGGGGAATTCTACCAGAATAAATAGAGAGTGTTGAAGGATTATAATTGTTGAAAATATATAGAAGTTGGGACTGTCAAACATTGGCAACTGCAGATGTTGGGTTACTTTTCTACCAATCCACAGGCTGACTGAGCAACAGGGTAAATGTGGTTTATAAATATCTGAAGTGCCACAGTTAGCCATGATGGGAATGAACCTGCCTAGTTATTCATGAATTCCCTGCATAACATAATATATGTAATAATGTAACAAATAAATCTGATACATAATCAAATGCAATAAAGACAAAGCTTTACGCTTTGTTACATTTTTATATTGAAATTAAATCCAGATGACAAGTGTATATTTATTTAAGAAAATACAAGTTGTTCAGGAGGCAGTGTGTGGTTACATGTATAAAAATCCAAACATGATACAAACATGATACACAATGTAGCGATACATTACATATTCACCAATACCAATAGAAATTCACAGTAGTAGCAGCCTAATGGAAGGCAAACCCTCCCATTATTGTTGATGCTCAGATGGTCACCAGAACAATTACAGCTTATTGAATTTGTTCTGGTGAGTAGAATCATTACCTTCAGGCTTTTTGCTGTAAACACAGTCTTTTCAGAGAAAATGCAGTGTTTACATTACAGCCTAGTGATAACTTCACTGGCCACTCCTCAGATGGCTGCTAGAGGTGCTTCCTGTGGCAGTGCTGCAGAGTAAGCAGAACTGCCATTCAATCTCTCCACCCTCTGCATGCAGACACTAAACTTTCCTCAGAGATTAATTGATTCAATAAATCTCTATGAGGAGATGCTGATTGGCCAGGGATGTGTTTGGCTTGTGCTGGCTCTGCCCCCTTGACAGTCTCAGCCAAACTTATAAGGAAGCATTGTGATTGTCTCAGACCAAAACTTCTGAAGATGTTAGCAAACACAGGCAGTTTCAGAGGCAAACAGGTGGGCTAAATTGTTGTTTTAACACAATAGGGTCAGAAATACATATTTGTGTTCTTGACCCTATAGTGTGTTCCTTTAATCAGATTAATCCAATATACTATATTTTATTATTTTAAAACAAAATCTTCATTTTCTGGCACATATTAAATAATGGAGTAAATTTAGATATGACGCAATATGAGCCTTCTGTCTGGAATTCTTGTAAAGGATTATGAATGAAAAGAATCGCAATATATTATTAAACGAACAAGCATTTCATCCTCCCATAATATGATTCCCTACTTCCATATTTTCATTTCTGTTATAGCTTTAACAATAAACATCTCTAGTGATCAAAAAAGGGAGTATGAAGTCACCACATATTTTGACATGGAGGTAGCAGGTATTATTGTTAAAGAAATGTTGCTTTATATGTGGCAAACGGCGAATGGTTTAAATTACCATCAACAACATTCAATGTACAAATCAAAACACATTTTCTTTCTGTTGCAAGTGCAAGGTTTGAACAGGCATTTCATGTATTAACCAAATCACTGATTGGTTAAGAAATGCCTCACTTCCTATAACATTAGTATGCGTGGGGTTGGTACTCCACTTAGAATGCACTGCTATCACTGGACATACAGGGAACATTGACAGTGAAAAAGTAATCACTTTGGCCAATTACTTCTTGGGAGAAAAAAAAAAAAAAAAGCAACAACAAGTGAAATCCTACCTCTTCACCCTCATCACCTTTCACAACCTGCTGAGCCTTCATTACTTTGGTGGATGCAATCGCAGAAGCTAAAGCCTGGGACAAAAGAAACAGACACGTTAAGTTTTCAGGAACAGATTACTATACACTTTGGTAATAAATAAGGGGGTAGAATTATGTTGTTACATAGAAGTATTTAAATTTGTACAAACCTCAGAAGCTGAACTAAATAACACATGTGAACTGTGCACAAGGAAACTTTGGTCAGTAGGGTATTGGTACACATGCACATGAAATGCCCATCTTTGCTGACTCTGAAACACAATTGTGTTTATTGTAACTGCTTTTATTTCCCATCCCACGTATATTGACTTTCCTCTACAGCAGTGTTTCCCAATTGGTGTTCCGTGAGAACACAACTGGGGTTCTGCCAAAATGTCTAAAAACAAAATGGCTGCAGGCGGTGAGGGAGCAGTGGGCAGTGATCTCCCTGCTCCGCTCCCTTGTGCGGAATATGATGACACTCCAGCTCCGGCATCACTGAGAGGCGCGCAAGGGAGCTGAGCAGGGAGATCACTGCTCCCTTGCCGCCCGCACGCCAGCAGCCCCACTGGACCCCAGGGACGGCATGCCAGCCACTCAGCTGCCCCACTGGACCACAGCAGCCCCACTGGACACAGGGACTGCACGCCAGCCACTCAGCAGCCCCCAGGGACCACATGCCAGCCACTCAGCTACCCCACTGGACCACAGAGACATAGAGACTCCATGCCCAGGTAGGGGGGCTGGGTGGAGTAAAACAAACAAACAAAAACAAAAAAATAGTATGTGTGAGTTTGTATGTGTTTGTGTGTGTGTCAAAGAGTATATGTGTGTTTGTCAGTGAACATGTATATGTGTTTGTATGTGTGTCTGTAAAAAAAAAAATGTGTGTGTCAGTGAGAGCGTATGTGTGTGTCAAAAAGTATGTGTATCTGTGTGTCAAGGTTTGTGTATGTGTCAGTGTATGTGTACATGTGTGTGTATTTGTGAGTCAAGATGTGTGTGTCTGTGTGTATATATATCTGTGAGTCAGATACACACACAGATCCACACTGACACATACAAACACAGATACATAAACCTTGACACACAGACACGTGTGTGTGTGTGTGTGTGTGTATATATATATATATCTGTGTGTCAGATTCATACACACTGGCACATACAAACACAGATACACAAACTCTGACATATTGTGCATCTGTGTGTCAAAGGGTTCCACGGAAAAAATTAATTCGGAACCCCTGCTCTACAGGTTCCAAAAACTCAAATGAGAGATATTTAGTGTCATTTATCTGCCTTAAATGAAAATTGTATGTTAGACTTGTATCCATTTAATAAATAACTGTAGATCGTTCTTCATTTCGGTAGAAAACAAACAGTCTGATATTAAGAACTATCTACTGTTACCCTGTACAATATTATCTCACCCACCTTGCAACTGACCCTAACGCTCAGTTTTTTTCAAATATTAGCTGCTGTTCTATACCATTGTCAGACAAATGCTAGTGTATATTATATAAATTGACAACTAGTAGGAAAAGTACAGAATATAGTACCCTAGCTAACTGTTCTCTTACCTCTGCTTTTAAATCGGACCGGATTCGTACCACACATCTCTGAACTGCCATTTGAAATGTAAAGCTAATAACTCCTTTGATTTTTAGCAGGGCATCTTCACAAAGACTCCTACGAGACTGTAATACAATGAATAAATATATTATATAAAGACACACAAGCAAAAATTAGTGAGAATAACAATTGTAAAATATGTATGGTTTTAGTTCTACAGATGCAGATTTGCATGCCAAGCGATGTTTGCAGGTACATTGCACTTACTGTACCTACCTTTCTTTTTAAAGTCAAGTATACATAGAAGATATACTAAAACAAATTAAATGTTTATTCATCTTACCGTCTCCCCTCTGAGTCAGCACAGACATTTTGTACAGAAGTTACATAAATCTGGACAAACATACATTGTCTTGCCATCACTACCTTTCTATACACCATACTATGTCTGTACTCATATTTGCTGATCCCTCTATTCCAGTGGTTTAGCAAGTGAAAATCCAGTGTTAGTTGGCATCTTGGTTACCAGAAGAGGTATAATCTGTATAACTGCTTAGCTTTCTGTGGCCTTTCATTGTACTTCTGTTGCTGATTGTGGGACTTGACTCTCTGTACCCTATATATAAAATGATATTATGTTGTGTTCTTTATATAGTATTTTTGTATACTCAATCAAAATGTTGAGTGACAAAACAAAACAAAAACCCACAGAAATATAATTGTTAATCTATAGAAGTGCCACAATTTTTGCCATTAAAGAATTGATCATTATGTTAATCCCATGTATGCAATTCAGATTGCTGTCAAAAGTAACTATTGGTATAGAAGAATTATAATACGAAGTGAAGTGAAGGCAAACACAGAACGTCTTGATGCACACAAAAACAAAAAAAATAAAAATTGCCTGTGGAAGCAAAACTGTTAACACAAGATAAATGAATGCTTTGTTAAACCGAAAGCGACCTTGACGTGTGTTCTGCTTGTGACTATAAGGTAGAATGCTTACACAATAAAAAAAATAAATCCATGTGGATAAAATAAACTGTAAATCATAAGGAGACATTGCTGAAAAGCCCAGAGTTGTTTGCTCCATATGATAAGAAATGCATTTCCCCTTGGTTAAGCTTTGATTGACTGAAGTGCTCATTGCCAGGCAGTTAGTGTTTGGGTCCCTACTTATCAAGCACCTTGTATGCAAACTGACGGAATCCATCAAAGCAGATGCTGTAACCCTTCAGCAATGTGCAGATAAGATGCACCATATAGTGACTTGTTTCTAACTCCTCAGATGCTGGTAAATTAACAAAATAAATTTTCAGCCCCAATACCTGAAGTGAACAGGTAAAGTTAAAAAGTTACTTTCCAATCCCGATTTAAGTAAACGGGAGTGCAAGTTACAGTGAATTGTCTGATGGTGACAGTGCAGGGAACAGCAAACAGTGAGTATCCTGACAGTGCACGTGGTGAAAATTACAGTGCAGGGCGCAGTGGGTGTGGTGAGAATGACAGTACTGGCTACAGCGAGCAGTGAGTATCCTGACAGTGCAGGGTGCAGTGAGCATGATGAGAATCCTGACAGTGCAGGGCGCAGTGAGCGTGATGAGAATCCTGACAGTGCAGGGCGCAGTGAGCGTGATGAGAATCCTGACAGTGCAGGGCGCAGTGAGCGTGATGAGAATCCTGACAGTACAGAGTGCAGTGAGCAGTAGTAAGAGTGACAGTGCAGGGCACAGTGAGCAGTGGTGAGAGTGAGTGTGCTAGGCACAGTGAGCAGTGGTGAGAGTGAGTGTGCTAGGCACAGTGAGCAGTGGTGAGAGTGACAGTGTTAGGCACAGTGAGCATTGGTGAGAGCAACAGTGCAGGGCGCAGTGAGCGTGATGAGAGTGACAGTGTTAGCCACAGTGAGCAGTGGTGAGAGCGACAGTGCAGGGTGATGAGAATCCTGACAGTGCAGAGTGCAGTGAGCAGTAGTGAGAGTGACAGTGTTAGGCACAGTGAGCAATGGTGAGAGTGAGTGTGCAGGGCACAGTGAGCAGTGGTGAGAGTGAGTGTGCAGGGCACAGTGAGCAGTGGTGAGTGACGGTGTTAGGCACAGTGAGCAGTGGTGAGTGACGGTGTTAGGCACAGTGAGCAGTGGTGAGTGACAGTGTTGGGCACAGTGAGCAGTGGTGAGTGACAGTGTTGGGCACAGTGAGCAGTGGTGAGTGACAGTGTTGGGCACAGTGAGCAGTGGTGAGTGAGTGTGTTGGGCACAGTGAGCAGTGGTGAGTGAGTGTGTTGGGCACAGTGAGCAGTGGTGAGTGACAGTGTTGGGCACAGTGAGCAGTGGTGAGTGAGTGTGTTGGGCACAGTGAGCAGTGGTGAGTGACAGTGTTGGGCACAGTGAGCAGTGGTGAGAGTGACAGTGCAGGATAAAATGTGCAGTGTCCGAGTGACAGTGCAAGTATAGTAAGCAGTTGTGTAAGTGACAGGGCAGTGAGCGGAACAAGATTTGGATTTAAGTATCGATGACAGCACAGAGCACAAACAATGTGTGAGAGAGTGCAAGGGGCTTTGTGACTGCTTACTAGTTACAGGGAAAGATGCAAGTATTGTGTAACAGTGGAAGGTGCTTTATATTTGCGTTGTTACTAGCTACTGCTTTGTGTGTGCACCATACGTCTTATACACCATACATACCTCACAACTGTCCTAGGTTTGAACAGAATAAGCTGACTTTGGGATTCTGTTCTTAAATTTCAGGTTTGTTGCCTGGTGTTCAAGTCCAGCCCCTAATCAGTGCAGAATGAGCACTTCATAATCTCATGTTATAAATCAATGTTCAGAGAGCTGAGAAGGGGCTAGACAGGCTAACATGTCTCCTTTTCAGACTAGACTTCACAAGGAGGCCATATCTCCCATTGTTAGATCGTATGCACTACATTATGATGTAGAGAAAGTCAATGTCATTTCCCTCCATGTGATATTTATTTATTGGAATTTCATATGAGGGGGGAGGGGGGGGGGTAAGACTGGTGTATTTTGCTATACTAAAATAAAAGGTTTTTCTGATAATCACTTCCATTCAAAGTTTAACCTATCAGTACAGCCGTACAGAAAATTTCAATAAATCAATCATACATTTTTCATATAAATAGATTAAGGCAAATTGTGCAACGTAGACCCATCAATTTTGTAATATTGTTGTTAGCCTAGTGAGCAAGTGAAAGAGTGGTTACAGGAACCAGTCCTGTCAGTAATAATTAATACACAGTCCCCAGTTACTCCAGATCATCAACAAGTCCAACAAAATGCGCTAAGCACCTTTGAAGAGATAACCTAAACACAAAAACCACTACAGCAAACTTTTAAAAACAGGTTTGTTTTTAAATGTGATTTATTGCCAAGGGACTCACAATTTACCTAATAGTTCTGTTTCACTAGGGATTATACAATCATTCCAGAATACGGAGATCAGCTACAGGCATGAACAACTGCACAATTTCCTGTATGGGAGTAATGCGGTTATAAAATCACTAATCACCATGCTGGTCTCTTGTAAACAATGGAACAGGTAACAGATCAATAAACCAACAAAAAATGAGAGGAGCTTGACTAATAATGCGCACACTTGGGTTTCAGCTGCATACTCTCCACACTCCGTGCTTAAACAATGTGAACAATAACCAATTCAGAGGAAACCCACATGGTTTGGCAAAACGCATCACAGCAGACGTCAATTGAGGCATGTCTATTCTATCCACATGAGCTGGCATTTTCATTGAGAGTTTGTGAGGATTTTCCGTAAGCATTTATTATTGTTTTTATATCAAAATAAAGGTGTAAAACTATTGGGCCCCCCTAGGTTTTCTTCTCTTTTCACAACATCATGGACATTAGGAGATATGTATAGTTTTAACTATGCTCAACATAAAGGTAAGTAAAGGAAAATAACTTCCACAAATTGCACGCAAAATGTATATATGTATTTTTCTATTTATTTTTTTTGTAGAAAAAAAAAAAAAAAATACACACTTGAACTGAACATAAGTATATTTATCATTGGCACTTTCATTTGTACTAAGAGTGGCATTTTGTAAGCACATAGTATGAATAATGCTCTTTGCATATTTGCACTTTAAAAGGTTTTCAATGCATCATTATATAGAATTGCACAGTGTGCTTAATTTAGAAATTCCTAGTCTGTTTTGTTCTGTTGCTAAAGCCTGCAACAGCCCCCATGTGTGTTTTTACATTTTAATTAACAGAGCAAGAGATAAGAACTTTTAAAGTAAACATATGGTGCTAGAAGATCTGATCAACACAATTTTTTTCATGGAGGCTGTGGGATTCACAGCCAGACGAGGTGTGTCCAGGACTGCATAAACAGAGACAAGAGTAGTTTAATGCCAAGTGACAAAGAATTGAACCCTGAGACTGTAGGGACATGATCTACACACTAAAACTGCTTCAGTAGGTGAATATTCTTTTAATTCTTAGAGTTTCCTTTTATGCTGGATCTGCAATGATTTAGCTCTTACCGTATCATCAAGGCCGTCAATATGCAAGACCACAGTTTTGGCACGTTTATTTGTAGCTCCTAAGAAAAATTGTGCTTTCCGCCGTCGTGAGTTCATTTCATTCACACAATCGCCATCTGCTGTACTGGATGACTGAAGTAGGTCATACACCTCAGTAGCAAGGTTTTGAGTGTCTCCTGGTGTTGTAGTTCTAAAAAAAAAAAGTACATAGATTTAAAAACAAAAAGCCAAATACAACGGGGATCATAATTTATTTACTATCAAATTCGGTAGACATAACACAATGTGTACTTTATTTTGTTTTTTCCTTGCTAATGTTTTAAATTACAATCTGAAGTAATTATGCCATGGAGTGCATACAAGCCAAATGTAATACACCAAATTAGGGAGAAGGAGTGTTCGATGCTAAAAAGATTTCACTTGCCACTTGCAAAAAGGTCACCGACTTTAAATTTGACAGTTCGTGGGTACATGAAATTTTATGAAGACATTGGAGGTGATGTATAAAAAGTGTCACTGTTTAATTTTTAGGCTGGTTTTCTAGTGTTTTTTGTTTGTACAATAACATTCCTTACTGCTCCTCTTTATTTTCCCTTTCTATTTTGTATTTCTTATGTCAACAAATGTTTCTCCCTTTTCTCAGGTTGGTGGTATTTCTAAGACAGGTAAGCAGGTTTCATGATTATCCTTTTTGTTTAAATTATAAACCTTTAAACTGAGAATGCACCATTTCCCTCTCTAATTTTGAAAATGTAATCAATGGGAAGATCAACAGGAAAAAAAAGTAAAGGCAGAAAGACAGATTATTTTAAGTGCACTATTAAATAATAATATATAATTAACTAATAACCTATACATTTACTCGTAGTTTAAAGATTATTGTCCACAGTGTGTCACCATTCCATTTCCATAAGACGGACCAGTAAACACACACACATATATATACACACACATATACATACATACACACACACACACACACGTACATCGAAAGGTTCTGCAATTTAATATTACAAGATGCCACTGCACTGCAATTTAAATATACAAGCTCAAACTTAAGATCAAATAAAAGACATTTTGAAAATGACTTAAGAAAAAAACAAAAATGTAAATTGCACAAAAATTAGGTGCCAGAGAAAATTGGTGCCTTTCAATTCTATTATTAACAAGATACACTTTGTACCTTTAAGGGACATCTGATAATTAAACATACATTAATTGCCCTAATCATTTTATGAGAACACTAATACGGAAGAACAGAATATGGTCTAGCTTGTTAATGAAAGTTAATTTAAGAAAGGAAGGAAAACAAAAGACTAATATTCTTCCCAACAGATCAATATGATTTGCAGAACCAACTTTGGACTTTAAAATTAGATCCTCCTTAAAAATCAGGGAAAAATACAAAAAAAGGAAAGGAAAGGAAAAAGAGTTTGGCCTTTGCAATATACCACAAAACAAAAACATTGCCAAAAGGAATAAACGTACTTTAGTACAGGCCATAAAAATTCAATTATTAAACAACAGTTGAAGCTGCTAGTTTTAATGTAGTTCATATGGACACATTAAAATGTGTGAAGCATGCATAAATACCAGCACTGACAAACTACTCAGCTCTCTATTATGTTCAGCATCGTATGCACTCAGTGTTATTTTCGCATGGAACTGTGTACTGTGTCACTTTCTGTCTGCTAAGAAGTCAAGTAAATATGTCTTTAAGCTTGACTAGAAGTCAGACTTGACATTTTATGTTTCTGCTGACAAAGAGTTCTCAAGTTGACATAACATAAATGTCTTTAAAGTTTAGTTTCCTTGTTAAAGCCAGATTAGCCCTTCATTACCAGGGGGCTTGCAAAAAAATAAATAAAAAAAAATATGAAATAAAAAAAATTCTACAAGCGTGTTCAGCCAAGCAAGCTCTTCAAGGAGATTGTAAAGAGTTAATGTATTCTTTTGCTAGCTTCGGGAAAGAAGCAAAATAGATGTACTCTTTATAAATCATAAATTAGTTGAGGCAGCTTAAAAAGTAACAAGTAGTTCTTTTTGGCGTTAAGGTATCAAAAGCAGAAGGAGTGTATGTGATCTTTTAACCTTCCATTAGATACGATAAATGGCTATTTAACCAGACGTTCTCTTTGTCCCTTTTAGCATCGTCAATTGCAGCAAGGTCACGGACATGCATTCTCTGCGGTAATAGAACAGTGACGTCATATGGGAATGGTAGTGTGATTTCACAAACGTATTGTGAACTCAAATTGAAAATAAGCAGAACATAATAGAAACACAGAATGTGATGGCAGATAAGAACCATTCAGCCCATGTAGTCTGCAGAATTTTCTAAATGCTTTCATTAGTCCCTGGTCTTATCTTATATCTAGGGTAACCTTATGCCTATCCCACACATGCTTAAAGGACTACTATAGTGCCAGGAAAACATACTAGTTTTCCTGGCACTATAGTGACCTGAGGGTGCTGTCACGAGCGTGGGCTATAGGCCCAGCCGAGACAGTGGGGAGAGTGTGGAAGGGTTAATGACACCAGACCCCTGGTTACCTGTTGCTAGTCCCAGCAACCACTCAATTAACCCCTGCAATCCCTTCTACACTAACCCCCTAGTACACACTTTACTGCCACCACCAAGACTTTAAACCCGGGTGTCTTAGGTTACCCCACACACAGGAGAATTATCAATAAAAGTAGAACTGTGATTCTATAAAACACATATAGTTAGCCCATTTTGGTAACGTGTTTATCTGAGCTTTCCTCTGGAGAGTGAAGCTCATAGAGAACAGAGACACAAGCTGATTAAGTAAACATTTAATCTAACAAAAAAGATTCACAGTGCTGAGTACAAAATACAGAAATAAAAGACATACAGACAACAAATTGCAAAACAGTACATGATATAAAATAGGAGAAAACACAAGAAATTCCTTACATGTATTTACCCCATATAGAATTCTTGTGGGAGTCTTAGATGGTATAGGCCTCCTAGAAGTTGCTGACCAAAGGAAAAAAATGAATAATTCTCTGGGGGGGAGGGGGAGAAATCAGAGGGGGTTGGTCTGGCAGTTTATTGCCCACTTTATGCAATTCCTTGTGTCCAGCTCTGGTGATGGCTATCTAGATGTTTTATGGTCTAGGCCTGGTGCCAGATCAAAGACCACAATAAATGTCATCCCAAGGTTTACAAAAAAAAAAACCCAACTCTTAACATATATCAATACATCAAACAACAAATCGTGCTTTTGGCATGACAGGTGCCCCCACCCTCAGGGTCCCCCTCCCACCAGGGTCTGGGGAGAGGAAGGGGTTAAACTTACTTCTTTCTCCAGCGCCTGGCGGGGAGCTCTCCTACTCTTCGGCTGAATGCGCATGCGCGGCAGGAGCTGCGCGCACATTCAGCCAGTCTCATAGGAAAGCATTCATAATGAGAAACACGCAAACGCCTCTAGCGGCTGTCAATGAGACAGCCACTAGAGGCTTTAGAGGCTGGATTAACCCCATTTATAAACATAGCAGTTTCTCTGAAACTGCTATGTTTTTTAAAAAAACAAAAAACCCTTGCTGGACCAGGCACCCAGACCACTTTATTAAGCTGAAGTGGTCTGGGTGCCTATAGTGGTCCTATAAACTCCTTCACTGTGTTAACTGCTATGACTTCAGTTGGAAGGCTATTCCATGCATCCACTACCCACTCAGTAAAATAATACTTCCTGATATTAATTTTAAACCTTTGCCTCTCTAACTTAAGACTAGGTCCTCTTGTTGTGAAGGACATTGTTGCTTATGAATACAAACATTATGAGTAAGGTAACTAAACAGCAGTTAAAAAAAAAAATCTCTAAAAATATCAAGACTTCCAAGTTGGCCTGAATTCCATTTTTTTGCTTCATCTGTTATTAGCCAAGTGGCATTCACATATAACCCAGATAGGTCCTGTAAACCGATATCGGTCAGCATAGTTTCACTTTAATGTGAATCTGTCCTGACAGATATAGGTTTGCAGTTTTCTAACCACCTGGTTTGGCTCATATTATACAATTAATTGATTTTTCCCTTAATACTATTAAAAGTTCATGTTTTTATTTATTTCCATTTCACCTATCTCCTGCTGAGACCATCAATCAAGTTTCAGTGACTGTAAGACACACACCCCCTCCATACGCTTGATTGGGAAGCACAGACTTGCTTCCCATAACAGGTATAAAAATCCTTAAAACTTTATGTTGGCTCTGTGTAAATTCATCCTGTTTTCTCTCTCTCTCATTGCCTGTCCAAAGCTGCTGCAAAACATTATTCTGGCTGTTTCTCTCCTATCTCTGTTCTGCTCTCACACAGAGCCTGCCCCTCCTCCCTACTTCCCGTTGCAGACATTACTTTCCTTCAGGTTGAATTTCAGATGACAAGCCAGGAGGAAAGCTTCCCTGATACCAAACATTCAGAGCGCAGCCTTATTATCTCTCTGCTAGTTGGCACAGAGGAGGGATAAGGGCTGTTAACTTCTGATTTTATAGAAATCTAGACATTTGCAAGCAATATGTATAGATGAAATTTGTTTCTCTATCATTTAAGTTTGAGTTCTATTTGTCATAACAGGTACCCTTTAAGGCAAGCATGTTAAACTAAAAGGCTGGCAAAGGCCAAATAAACAAGGTTTAAGTGTATGTGGGCCGCAAAAAAAACAACAACATTTTCATAGAAACAAAGGTTTGTTTTGAAAAGTACAGCGTGTGTGTGCGTGTATATATATAAACAGCGTCCCCCTCTACTAAACCCTAGTCCCCCCTCTCTATACCAACTCCCAGTCCCCCCCCTTCGACAAAAAACCCAGCCCTTGTTTTAAAAAAACAAAACAAAACAAAAAACAATATTAGCCAACAAGCAGACTCCACTCACATTGCCACTGCCAGCATGTGACTCTGGAGTCCAGCCTCTGGTATACCCCTAATGGCACCGTCCACACACGGTGCCTAAGCGCATCCTTCTGCTACGCCTTTAAACCCTCTGAAGGTGGAGCACGGCGACGTCACGTCGGAATGGGATGTGACGCTGCATACCTGCGTGCACCTCCAATGTCCAGCCGTGGCCATTGCAACACTGACCAACACAAACACACACTCTGACAGACATACACACACACTCAAATCATTTTATTTATTGCTCCCTACTTTAGGAAGCTGGTGTGGGGTCAAGTGGAGATCTTCTGTTGGGAGGTCTCCTACCTGCTCCTCACTGCACCCTCATGCGCGCAGTTTAGTGATGTCGGCATGTCATATTCCGGCACCACCACAAAGGGCGCGTGCGAGGGAACAGTGAGGAGCAGGAAGACTGAGCTCCCTCGCTGCCGCCAGCGACCTCTCCTCCCCGGCCAGGTAAATTTTAGCAGAGTAGGCACCTGCAATGTGGGGAGAGCAGATGCCTACTCTGCCTTAGTAAGCATGTCAAACTTGCAGCCTGCCGGGCCACAAAGATATTCATTGTGGGCTGCATGTGGCCCACAAGTGTGACATGCTTGCTTTAAGGGATAAGTGGTTTATCAATTCCAAATGTATAACCTCACCTAGTTTTGTTTTCATTACACTGACACAAGACATTTGATGCCCATTTCAAGGTTATTAATTAAACAGATTAAAGAGAAATTCAAACCCTCAGGGCTCCAATTTCTATTCTTATCCAAAGTGAACATTTTTAATTAACCACTACACTTTGCACTTGGTCTTGAAGCAGATGTGGAACTCAAGAACTAACAATGCAATCTCAAGAAACAAATGCCATTACAGTACAACGGGACGTGTATAGTGGTTTGAATGTCCCTTTCATGTTTGGTTATAGGTCCCTATGTGTTGATGTAAATAGCTTGCACTTGCTCTTTTAAAAAAGCACTATAGTCACCCAAACCACCCCATCGCTATTAGGATGTCTGGGTGCAGTGATGCTGTCATTTTTAACCCTGCATTGTAAAACATTGCAGTTCTTTTTTTTTATAAGTTGCAATGTTTACATTGCTGTGTAAAATCCATCTCTAGTGACTGTCTTTTTGATAGCCAACTAGAGGCACCTCCACCTCAAGTGAAACGCAATTTGAGAATTAAATGCTGCTGGTAAAAGCAATAGATTGGAATAGCATCCTGTTTTGCTGTGTTATGAGAAACATTGGATTTCCAGGATTAATGTATTTTAAAGAATTTCTTTATCAAGCAGTACAATTCTGACATTTCCCCCATGTATAAGTGGTTTCTCAAAAACCCGGAGAAATGCTAACTATAAAGGTTGAGAATTCACTAAGTAATACTGTTAACAAAAAGTAGATAACTAAATCAGGCATAATCCGATGCGGATGTGGTGGACAGGACTCAACCATTCAATATTTTCTTTATATTTTGCTTCGATATGCAGAAATCACACTTCAATGGAGAGATCTTAATTATCAGGTTAGAGTAAAGTCACTTCTCATAAATGTCTCAGGAAGCAGTAAGGCCCAGAGATACATGCAAGACAACATTGTCCACAGCTTTTCTCAGGAATAAAAAAAGTCACAGCTAATTATCTTTACTAAGGCACATTAAAATGATTGCCATATCTAAATGACAATTGAATGACTTCCATATAAGAAAACTCCTTAGTTGTGCATATTTTAATAATTGTCGTATTCCGGTGACAACAACATGACTTCCATATGCGAAAAGTCAAATCCATAGACGATTTATCAAAGTAATGTATTGGTTGGAACCAAGAATTGCTCTCTTCTTCTTAGTCCGTGCAAAGTTATTACAAGGTTGAAGGCACATTCTACATGATATGGTTTATTTACAATGAACTCCAAGCTGCAATGATGTTACAAAAGTGGTTTAAAATAGTGACCACCACCCTGGTCTTATGGCATGGCAGCATCGAACAATGAGATCTAATTTTTAATATGAGGAAATGACACTAGCCATGACGTTATGTTTTTGTGCCCACACCTAAATAAGTTTAAGAGAATGAGTGGAGAAACATAGCCCCGGTGTTGTCCTGTTTCATTAATATACTAGCAGAATATGTACCAGCAAAATTTCATGACTATCTCGTAATGCATTACTGTACCTTCCTAAACATCACATTTCTGTGAAGCCTTTCCATTTACAGTAGCTATTCTCTTGCCATATTTAAAGAAATAAAAGGTAATTATCCTGGGGCTAAAAGGTTTTACATACAGGCCTTCAACCTCTTAAAGTCTGCCCAAATAATTTCCTTGACTAATTTTACTGAATAATCACACTTCAAGAAGGAACTTTCTGAACACAGTACAGTGCTACTTTAAGACTTTAGACTTAAAGCTTTATTGACTAAATTCACAGAATTTTGGCTTATAATTTGCAGTTCCCGTGTCAATTTTACATGATTCCAAGAGACTAATCCTTGCTCTATAAGAACAAGGCATTTCACTTACTTTTGTATAAGATTTTGTAGACTTAACATCATGCCCAGTTCGCTTCTCATCTTTTCTCTGTTTGCGCGGCATTCTGCTAAATAACGGAGAGCCTAAAACAAAAAAATTATTTGAATAAACAACTGAACGAAAAATGGATGGCATACAAAACCACAATCACTCTTTTTAATGCATCTCCTGGCTTACCCTTGCACTGGGGGGTAACCATCTTTCAGTTCTCTTTGGGTTGAAGCATTCCTTATCTTCTCAGACAATTAATTTAAAGGTCTCAAACAATCCTAAGTGCATACTTGAGAAACCAGTCATATGAGCATGATGGCATAAATCATAATAGACTAGGTCTTCAATACCTGTGGTTGGATAAGCTAGTTGTTTTCAATCGACTTTAAGATGGCTACTACCATAAAGCAAGGGTTGACTAGGAGATGTACTGAAAAGACATTTACAGACTAAGACATTTAAATACATACACAGACTACGACAGGCTGTCTATTTTAATAATTATAAATAATATAAAAATATGAAAGCGCTTCTTAAGTTTAAAACTCCAAGCTCCATAACCACTACAGCTTGAGCAAATAGGTTTCATAGCCAGCTTATTATAAAATTGTCCTGGAATCTCTGACCAACCATTACAAGAGAGGTTTTGAGATTTATTTTTAAAATGTGACATAATTGTGGAATCTGAAAGGAGTGCTAGCAGAATAGGTCGTGGGTTTACATTACAGCCTAGTGATACCTCCAGTGGCCACTCCACTGACAGCTACTAAAGGTGCTTCCTGAGGCAGCACTACCATTCAGTGTCTCCACCCTGTGCATGGAGACACTGAATCAATTAATCTTCACGAGGAAAGTTCAATGCATCTCTATGAGGAGATAATTGGCCAGAGCGGTGTTAGGCTTGTGCTGCCTCTTTGACAGTCTCTGCCAATCCAATGCTTTCCTATGGGAAAGAATTGTGATTGGCCCAGATCAACACTTCTGATGATGTCAGCCAAGCAGGCAGAGCAGGGTCAGAGCCAGCAGCAGACTTGATTAAATGTACAATTTTACTATATTTAGGGGGGACTAGATGGTGGTTCTAACACTATAGGGTCAGGGATATATGTTTGGTGTGTTCCTGATCCTATAATATTCATTTAATAAATAGACAAAAAGTTTTGTTTAAGGACCAACATCACTTTATGCAGTCATGGCAATCTGTTCTATAAAGAAAAAGTATCACGTTGGAGTTTTTGCACAAACCTGAATCTAATATAATAGAATCCTATAGGGTGTGCAATTTTAAATTGTTTATGTATTACATGTATACACTCTTCAAATGCCTGAGTATGTGAGCATCATAGAGTCAAGATGTCACCCCAGACACACGGGAGATGGAGTAGCTGTAGTTTGGCTGTTCGGTGCTGGAATAAAGTTTTATTGTTTTTTGGGGGATTTTTTTAAACCAAAGGAGACCCTGAATCTAAACTAAAAAAAAGCAACTCTTCTGTTGAAAATCAATACATTAATTTAGAAAATATAACGAGTATTCCTTTGTTTTTTGTTTTTTAATTTCCACAGTACTACTCACCCCGTAACATTTCAATAGAGTTTATTCTGCGAGAGAATGATAAATGCTCACTTTCGCAAAAGTGACAATTCTACATGAGCAACCCTATTCCAAAAAATATTGACTATAATCGCTGCAGAGCTGTGTAAGCCTAGTAAGGCAGGATATTTCATACTTTTATAAGGTCACAGTATTCAGATAGCAATGTTATAATGTATAATTTGTTTTACGACGTTATAGTACAAACAACAATACTATATAAATTTTTATTAAGATTATTACCAGTAAAGCTGAGTAAACGACTGGAGGGTTGGGATGGTCGAGGAATAAAATGAGGCCCGGGAGACAGCCTTGGTCTTGTACAATGGCTCTTCGGTTTAAAGGGTCTGAAGCCAGATCTCGCAGCTGGTTAACAACTGCTAGTGCACTAGGCTCCCCACTCATTGTATAACAGATGGTGTCTTAATGCCATACGCAAAGAATACCTAAAGCACACCCCAAGGAAAAAAAATGAAAAATTAACATTAACAACAAGTTATTCAATATTTAAACATTTATAATTAAACACATAACATTGATGACTATTTATATACAGACAAGCATGACGTTATTACAATTAATCTCTTACGGATGCAAAAGTGTCAGTAGTATTGATATCTAGCACTGGGCCTTTAAACTGTCCTATAATCAGTTTTTCCTAGATCCATATTTGCTTTTAGATCCTTGAAGGGACAGTGGGCACTGCATCCACTACACCTTAAAGTGGCTATGGACCAAGGATATTCCGACTGAATCTCATCTGTTCTTTGTGAAATAGTTTTAACACGGTCTGGCACAATTAACTGACTCCCCCTGCACTCAAAGCTCTGCAACTCTGCGGGTCAGCCCAGCACTCTTAGAAAACCAATTTCATCAGATTGGATGACAGTGACTGTGATAATGCAAATGTGTTAAACATGGGTTATCAATTCAGCCAAAAAGCAGGCTGTCACTGGGAGCCTAACTTTTTGTCAAGTCATTCCAAAAATGGTTTGAAATTAAAACGGGGGATAGCATCTACAGATTCTAGTTAGCAGAACAAAGAACATTTTATATCTTAAACATACTGAGATATCTTGCATTCAAATACAACTAAGTGCGCTCACCACAGTAGAAAGACAAATGTAGCAGTCATTTGTATTAATCATTACAGACATATGTACAGTTTGAGAATATTTATTTTACATTTGAATTTAACCAGGACTTGACAAATTTGCTTGAAACAACAAAAATACAATTCTTAAAAGGGAAACGATAGTCACCAGAACCATTACAGCTTAATGTAGTGGTTCTAGTGCGTATAGCCTGTCCCTGCAGGCTTTTTAATGTGAAAACTGTCTTTACCACAGCATTATATCTAGATATCATATTCATCAATAGTGTTATCGGGTTAGTTGAGGATCATTGAGTTAGGGATCCCACATTTTATGGAAGTGTTTGGAAGCCTCATGAATCTTTGCTGTCAATTTGTCTATCGCAACTGTCTTTTATCTTGCTTATCTCTGTAGCTACTGTTGCGATGATGTCTGGGAGCCAGATGTATAAGGATGGAAAGTTCTGTCCAAAGAGGTCATGCTCCAGGTCCACCCAATGCTTACCCTATTTGTGCGTGTATGATTTAGATTTGGATTTAGTGTGCTGTGTGGTAATAATGAAGAAAATAGGGCATTCATAACCCCTTTGGATTTCTTTCGAATATACATTTTGTTTTTTTTACCAGATAAAATGGTTGCGGTCCAAGTGTGTTGATTCCGGAGATTCCTCCTTAAGTCATTAATAGTTGGGGGCAGTGTAAAGCTATGGGCATTCCCAAATAGAGACATTAGGAGATGCAGAGTTGTGGAGGGAATGCAAGGAGTTTTCATGGACACTAAGCGCTATAACCATTTAATTTAATCTCATTGAAGTGGTTATATTGCCTTGAGTCACTTGGTTTAACATTAAAATGAGAAGATGGCAGGGGGCAACTCTGGATAGTATAATTTTAATGGCACAAAGTGGCTATAGTGCCTACAGTGTCCGTTTAACTCTATTCTTGACTGGGTTTGGAGAATGTAATAACTTTGCGCTTAAGAGTTGACTGAATTAAAACCAAATATTAACAATTGCTTACATTTTTTTTTAAGGGTGAATCATTGAAAATGCACAATTATATTCTTTCTAGATTAGACTATTTTAGCCTAAAACCTTAACTTCACTATGAATTCCAAATGATTTATACTCTACTGAATAACATCATTAATGTGCTGGCGGTGAACTAGCCACCAAAACGTAGAAGACAAAATTGGGGAGAGCATGCATTAGAATAATCTTCTGACGACTGGGGCTTAAAAAAAAAAAAAAAAAAAATAATATATAACTGGCATCCGACAATTAAAGGACCACTATAGGCACCCAGACCACTTCAGGTTAATGAAGCGGTCTGGGTGCCAGGTCCAGATAGGATAAACATTGCAGTTTCAGAGAAACTGCTATGTTTACACTGAGGGTTAATCCAGCCTCTAAAGCCTCTAGTGGCTGTCTCATTGACAGCCGCTAGAGGCGCTTGTGTGCTTCTCACTGTGAAAAGACACATTGAGAAGACGCCAGCGTCCATAGGAAAGCATTATGAATGCTTTCCTATGAGACTGGCTGAATGCGCACGCGGCTCCTGCCGCGCATGCGCATTCAGCCACTGACGTTGCTAGGAAGAAGGAGGAGGAGGAGGAAAGCTCCCTGCCCGGCGCTGGAGAAGGGTAAGTGTTTAACCCCTTCCTCTCCCCCGAGCCCGGTGGGAGGGGGACCCTGAGGGTGGGGGGCACCCTCAGGTCACTATAGTGCCAGGAAAACGAGTATGTTTTCCTGGCACTTAGTGGTCCTTTAACCCCTTAAGGACCAGACTTCTGGAATAAAAGGGAATCATGACATGTCACACATGTCATGTGTCCTTAAGGGGTTAAAATTAGCAGTCCTCACATACTAGACATAAAAACGGGAACATTCTTAAAGGAGCACTATAGCGTTAGGAATACAAACCTGTAAAGGGTCGCTAGTCCCTAGTTTTGTAGCTCCCCATTCCCATTCAGTTAAACCTCACACCCCCCCCCCTTTTTGTTTTTAAACTTCCCATTATCCAGCGCTTCCTATGGGAAATTGCAACGGATTTGACATCTTCATGCAAAGCATGAGGATGTCCAACGTTATTTCACTGAGTTAAACTCTGTTAGTGACCAGAAACCAGGCAATATAATCATTGCAGTTTCTGTTTTACACTGCAGTGTTAAATAGACAGTGGCAGTGCACCCAGACCTCTTCAATTAGATGAAGTGGTTTGGGTGCCTATAAAGTCACAGATGAGGAATTAAACATCAGAACCCATTCTTCATGGAGAGGAAATGCAATCCTTTATCTTCCAGCAATAATACTTTGAAAAAAAGCCAGAAGAACCAGGGCTTCAATAAAGTAGGTGTAACCTTGCTTGGGAATTATCACCTCATGGGTACTGGCACATCCAGCTGCTACCTATAGGGTCACTGTAGCATGACTCCCCGGTCGCTAAGGTTAGAATCCTTCAGGGGGTCGCCCTTGGTGAGGCGCCATGTCCTGAGGCTTCCATCGGGAGACAGGCTGAACTTCTCATGGGCTGGGGTATTATTAGACCCGAGTAAGCCAGAAAAGAAAAAGACAAGTTGTAAAAACATCCTATGTCCATGTGAGTGGACAGGAAAAAAAGACTAATGATGTAGGGAAGAGAACTCGCTTTTATTTGTTTAATTAGGAGGTGTTCCTGTTCAATTTGGGAGTGGGGGGACTGGAGGATAGCCATCTCTAGTGCTGCCATGTATATATCTGGGAAAGAGACATTATAGCAAACATAACCTCTCCAGCTGTGTGCAGTGGTTCTAGAGCTTCTGAATATAAAGCCATTTAGAAATAGTTTCCTGAACAAAAACTGTGCTCTCCCTAATATTTAATTAACACAACCCTCAACATCCTCACTGATAAACATTAGCAATGCATTAGAAGTGTCAATTGTGTCCAGTCTGGGTGGCAGTCAGTGATAGCTAGTACTCTCAGCAGAGACACTAATGTTGGTCAACGTATTCTTCACCATTCCAAGTAATGTTTTTTTTTTATTATTTATGTAGCTCTTCTAGATAGACTGATCTCAATTTTTTTCTGAAAACAAGTCAGACAGACTCATATCTGCTGAGTTCATAAATACTTTTATGCCAACCACTGAATAACAGCTTAACAATGAACTGCACATGGCAAAGATTAGGAGTCTGAAATCTTAACAAGTATATTCAAAGTTGTGTTATGCGGAATTCCAACTATCAGGAATAAATGCGCTTAAAAGGTGCAATACATGTAGAAGATTTCAAGACATACCAATCATTCCTGAAAGAACAAGCAGCTTGGTATGTTACAAAGACAAAAACAAACTGTTCACAAATAAAAACTGCAGATGGATTATACTCCATGACATACAAAAATCCCTGTATTTTCATATGATATTACAAACAGCATTCTTAAATCTCACTAGTAAGTATTGAAGGGACACACCACTACCCAAAATAAATAAATAAGAATATCACTATTTAGTGGATATATCCCTATGAAACCATATATGCATTTAATTCAGGGATCGACAAATCCTTGGTACTAGGTCGCCATGGCGACCAGGAAATTTGTCCTGGCGACTGGGATTTGTAAGTCTGTTCAGCCCCTGAGGTGACCGGCTGCCTGCGATTAGAGGTGAGCAGTCGGCTCACGCAGGGCTGGAGGCAGGCAGGAGGACGGTCAGCTCATTTAGAGCTGAGGGAGGGAGGCTGAATGAGCGCGGTGGTGGCGAGGTAGCTGTAATATGACGTCATTCTGTCCCTGCATCACTACACAGCGCTCTAGAGAGCAGAACAGGGAGATGACTGCAGCCTCACTGGATTCCAGGGACAGCTGATTCACTCCAGGTTTTCCAAAGGTAGGGAGGCTGGGTGGAATTAAAATAAAAAAAAGTAATGATTTGTGAATGAGTGTGAGTGTTGCAGTGTGCGTGTCTGTGTTTAGGTGACAGACTCACCCTTTTACCCACGCCATGCTGGTGACATCGTGGCTGGCCCCACCTCCATGGCTGAGATCATCAATCTTGACGATCTCAATCAATCCAATGCTTCCCCATAGAAAAACATTGAGAGACAATTGCGCGTGCATGTCAAAACACCATACTGCGCAATCAACAGCTCCTCATGAATCAATGCATACCTATAGGGAGCATGAACGTACCACTGACCCAGGAAGCACTTCTAAAGGCTGTCTGAGTGACTGTCACTAGAGGTGTTACCAGACAGCAATGTAAACCTTGCCTTTAGTCAAGCCCTGAATTAATTATGCATGGTTTCAGTTGGATTTATATAAAAGTGTCAGGAACACATAAGTGAGTACTGAATTTGAACATATCTTTAGATGAGGCCAATTACACATGCTGCAGCTCTGCTCTCTCAAACAAAGATCAGTCCAAATTGTACATTTGGAATAAGCATGCCTTATGCAGAACTTTTACAAAATTAAGACAGGCAGCACAGAAAAGTAGCATTCCAGCTGCCTGGCTTATATCAATTTTACAAGTTGCTTCACTTACAAACCATAATCAGTGCTTAGAATGGATGCACCCTCTGCACCATAAATTTTTCAATAATGACAAACTATTACAGTGCTTAGAGTGACTCTTTAAATTATGTTCATCCTCCCCACCCACTTTATGGTGCCTGAATAACGGAGTACAGGTTATATTGCCACTTTTAAATGGCAGAGTTGTAAATCAAAAATAAAACTAGAAATTTTAAATGGCTTTTATTGAAGGGAAACAGACAATCTTAAGAATCACAAACACTACAACTAGTCATTTTTGTGCTCCGAGTCTATTGGCATCATCCACCATTTTTCTGTAAAAAGTTTTGAGGAAGAACAGAAACATGGATTCCAGCATCTGTACTAAGAATTGCAATTCGTCACAGTTAGTTACATGGCAGGTCCAACAACCTTTTTTCCTTGCGTGCTGCCATTTAGGTAACCATTGGTCTGAAGCATGCTCTCACCTGACGGAAGATCACACTGCTTTACAAATCAGCGCATTCAACTGAGATGATATCCGTTGTCATTGACTGGGCATTGTGCTCATGACCAAGGGCCACCTGAATTATTGCAAGCAGGGAGAGATATTCATTTGGACAGTTGAGAACAATGTTGGTTGTTTAGTTTACTTTAGTTAATTATTTATTTATTTACACTCTCCCTCTGGAACATTGGAATCTTACACCTGTGACCCTTCTCTAGTACCCGAGCCACATGAAGGTGCCTCGAAAGCACAGAACTTGGTGTTTTAGTTTAGCATCATTTCAGCAAGATGCTTCTTAAGGCACAGAACTTTGGAGGACTTATTACGTGCAGAGAGGTCAGGATCGCAGTGACGTTTAATTAAATACTGTGAATGAGTTGCCCTATTCCACCATATGTTACATCTATTTGGTGGTGGCTGCAGAGATCCATATCTACCTATAATTTAATCAGTCTGCTGCTTAAATATTTAGTAACTATCGAATAAGTGACCTTTAAGGCATACTATTCAGCATTTTTAAGTTCAGCACCGTTTAGGAAAGATGCCTTTTGACTCTGTAGGTTTTATTAGGTGATCTAGAAGGCAGAGAGCTCAGGATCGGAGTGAGGCTTAATTTAGTATTATAAACTCAGTTACCCCATTCAAGCATATACATCTATTTGGTGGTGACTGCAGAGATCCATATTCACCTACAACTTAACCAGCCTGCTGCTTGAATATTTAGCATCTATTTAACCCCGAGCTTTAGGTACAATTTAAGTGTTTCTTTTCTACTTCCTTTGCTACTTTGTAAGAAGTAGGTAACATAAGTCAAACACGGATAGTAATATTGTTGCAATCGCGTCACTATAAGCAAATACCTAAAGCAACTGCTAAATACCTTCCCAGTCACTAGTTATTATAGACATTAACAGGTTGGAGTTTAAATATATTTTCACATTTTCTTTTGGGGTAATTTACCCGATCTGTATATATTTATAAAACCAAACTTTTCTCTGTAGATGCCCAAGCGCACATGTGTGCAGATGGCATTAGTGCAGTGCAGGTATGTTTTTATTGTTTGTTTTAAATGTCCCCCTATGGAGTGTGGATTGCCTGTGTCGTTTATCACACCTATATTAAAGGGGCCTCAAAATCGACACCCCACACTACGCTAATCTCTTCAATAGAGTTAATGGAGATAGGGAAATAAGAAGGGACAGTTCTGTGATAAACCTGTTTTAGCAAAAATTGCATAGCTTGTTACATATAACCTTTTTGACCTTTCTGAGCCAGTACAAGTTGACTTAAGACATATAATAAAATTAGCTTTGAAGAAATGGACAGACTAGTTTCTGTAAAATACCATGTGACGATTCTAATCTTTTTTTTTTTTTTTTTACTAAAACTACCTTTTTAACATGGGGCAAAAAACTTAAACGACTATTTAGACCTATAGTGCCAGGACTACAGGTTTGTTTTCCTGACACTTTAGTGTTCCTTTAAGACCTGTATTGTTTAGCTATTTTGATATATATTTTTATATACAAGTAAAACTGTACACACAAACTAGCGTTGCAGATAGTATGAATAGTACAGCCACTGGCATAGCATAAAAGATATTAACAAGGTAATGCAGTTATGGGGTACAAACAAGAACATAAAAATAAACCTCTGTATGAAGCATATGAGAAGGATCCTTGTCAGGTTTCTCTAAATCTGTCTATTGGGGTTTATTCACTAAATAATAGACTGTAGTGAGAAAAAAAACAAAGCGCAAAAGTTAAGATAAAATAGCCAACTGTGACTACAGCAGCGTTGAAGAAACTTTCCAAACCCATGATTGCTTATTATATAAAGCTGACTATTAGGTCCTTGCAGTATTGTTTGCCTCCTGTGACCATTGTGCAATATGATTGCAGTTTATGAATAAAACCAGTACCTCAATAGATGACATCTAAAAAACCAAAGACACTTAAAATATCTGCACATTTCTAATTCACTGTACTGTACGTGGACACTATAGGCACCAGACAACTTCAATGAGATGAATTGTGCACTGTTCCTGTCCCCTTAATCCTGCAATCTAAAACATTGCCGTTTCAGAAAAAATGCAATATCTAGTGCAGTGTTTCCCAACCCAGTCCTCGAGGCGCACCTACCAGTCCAGGATTTAGGGATAACCCAGTTGTGTCTAAGGTGTTTTTACAAAGAAGAAAAAAAACACCTTAGACACAACTGGGTAATCCCTAAATCCTGGACTGGTAGGTGTGCCTTGAGGACTGGGTTGGGAAACACTGATCTAGTGGCTGTCTACGCTTTGCACAAGGACGTCCAGCATCTTCAAATCCATTCATTAATTCTTCAAAGCATTAAAGGACCACTACAGTGCCGGGCCTTTCTCCAGCGCTGGGGACTCTCCTCCCTCTTCTGATGTCATCGGCTGAATGCGCATGCACGGCAAGAGTAGCGCGCGCATTCAGCCAGTCCATAGGAAAGTCTTCTCACTGTCATTTTCACAGTGAGAAGCGCCTCTAGCGGCTGTCAGTGAGAGCCACTAGAAGCTGGATTAACCCTAAAGTAAACATAGCAGTTTCCAGGGTTAATCCTAGATGGACCTGGCACCCAGACCACTTCATTGAGCTGAAGTGGTCTGGGTGCCTATAGTGGTCCTTTAATTTCATGCTTTCCTTTGAGGAAGGTCTAACGCGTGCAGTCAACAACATACATGAGCATTAGGTTCCTTGAGTTAAAGGAAAACTCCACAGGTCAAAACCATTACAGATTGTTTTAGTTGTTATCATGCCAATTGTACCCTGGCATCCTCTCAGTAAAATTTGTCAGTTTTAAAAAGTTCTGACAACTAACCTGTGTGCCACATTTGATCATGTATATTGAGACCAGTGCAAAGAAAATTAATTTGTTTCAAACAAGTTTTGCTTGCAATGGCTGCCAGGACAGCAGAGTCAGTGCTACCATTTTAGCTCTGCAGCTGCACAGGACAGTTGGGAGATCTACAGATCTACATGTACGGCTGAGTGCTCCAGCTGGGAGCTGTTCTCTACAGAGGCTGGACCATCATGGAATAAGGATCGAAGACCCTCTCACTGCAAAAAAGGTAAACAACTAGGGGGCTCAACTAAAAATAATAATTCCACATTTTTATAATATATATATACACACACATACATACACACACACACACACACACAATTGTGCAAGGTGGCTGGACAAAGAAATACAATGCTTGCCCACACACAATCTACCCCCCCAACTCACCCTGTAACATCACCACCCCTACACACAAACAATCACTATGTCAGTCATCCCCCAATACTCACAATGCCAAGAGTCATTATGTTAGATTCACATTACTGTTAGTGTAGGACCTGCCAAAGATGGGGTACAATGACGTTGTGGCAGGCTTATGCAATGTATGATCATTTAATGTAACTAAACCCCCATTATTTTTGCCTAGATTAGGTGTTTTTAAAAAAACTAATAAAATCTTTCAACATTGAAGTTGCCGTTTAGTGGATAGGTGAGTGCGCTGGATCCTGTGTAATACATACATACACACACATATATATATATATATATATATATATACACACACATACATATATATATATATATACATACATACACACACACACACACATGAATCAATAAGGGGAGCACACCAGGACTTCAATGTAGTGCAAAAAGTATTTACTGTATCCAAAGCATGATACAAATTCTGTGCAAAGAGAATCAACGTTTCGACCCTGCTGGGGTCTTTATCAAGATCATGATAAAGACCCCAGCAGGGTCGAAACGTTGATTCTCTTTGCACAGAATTTGTATCATGCTTTGGATACAGTAAATACTTTTTGCACTACATTGAAGTCCTGGTGTGCTCCCCTTATTGATTCATGTATATTGGGACGCGGGATTGCACCTAGGCATTTGACTCTTTACAAGAAGAATTTTAGGAGGAGTGCCTTGCCTATTCATTCTTTGTGTGTGTATATATATATATATATATATATATATATATATATATATATATATATATATATATATATATATATATATAAAAAACACCTCTGAACTAGCTGATAACGGATTGTGTTTACATTACCACCCTGTACATGGGTGTGCATTTTCCACAGCATACTAAAAAATCAATCACACCACTCCACCCATTTGCAAACCAATTCTTTCACACACACACAAAACTGACAGATTAAAAAAAAAAAAAAATTATTGAACAAAACAGGCTACAACAAATGATACCAAGATATAGTAAAGAAGTTGGTAACTATCCTTAAATAACCTTAACTGGTTTGAGACTCCTGCTATTTTGTGCAAGTAGGGTAGTCGTGGCAGTTGTCTGGTGTCCAGTCTTTCAGGACTACATTTCCCATCATGCTCTAATAAACTTCTGGCTTAAATGTATTATTACAGCAGCTACAGTTGTGATGGTGTGTTATGACTTTACTATACAATGTAACTGCTTTGTATTCCAGTCCCTGGCATGGATTACTGTGGTCATAAATAATAGCCAAGTGCATCCCTAAAATGCCCCCAGTGAGCGTGGCCCAATAGCCCAAACCCTACTTAACACACTAACAAGGGCCTGCACAGGGCAGACTGTCACCCACAACACCCTCATCCACCCCATCACCCTACCCCAGACTGGCATGCCCTCCCTGGTGGATCACGAGTGGGCACATCATGGTCACTCACCGAGCAGAACTCCCCAGCAGCAGCAGCCCAGACAGCACCACTCACATACTATACCTTTCATTGGTTAGTCATAGGTCATAGTCCAGCCGCCCAATCCACGGGCCTGTTATAACACTGGATAGCGATTGGTCCGTGCAAGGCCAAGGCCAAGGCCTTGACCGCCATGTTGAATGTGGGCAAAGGATATTATGGCGTTAACAAGTATTATAGCATGGGATTGAGAGTCGGCAGCTGGTGCTTTAAATGTCACAGCTCGTGATAACACGGCCATGATAATAACAATAATAAAAATTTAGTATGCCTCCTGGTGTTGTGGAACTACAACTCCCATGATGTTTTGGCAGCTGTAAGCCTGGCAGAGCATCACGGGAGTTGTAGTTGTGGGAACGTTGTGACTGTCTATTGTCCTCCCTGATGGTATGGGCAGTGTTATTACCAGACTATGAACTACAAATGATTTGCATGATAGTATATCCTCTATGTGTTGCCAATATAAACACAATATTTTTAAACGAAATTTTTTTTATTTTTTTTTTAATATGCAATCCGTGACCACACTAGTATAATCTGGAAATAAGGACTAATAATGACGCAATGAGACTGTATGACAGAGATATCCCCAGGAATATAAACGGACACTAATTACGACACATGCTGCCGCCATCTTTGTTTCTGGCAACCGGCTGGCATTTCGTCACATTAGGAAGATGCGATTGTTTTGACTGGTGAGCACTGAATGGCCGTGTGTGCGGCAGCTGGCTCCCTTATTGGCCACTATAAGGACTTTAAATAAATTAAATCTTGGATACCGTGTCACCGTGTTAGGAAGGAGGGGGATATTCCTTATACCGGACTCTGGGGCTGTAATGTCGCCGTGTTTGTGCAGTCTCTGGCCCCCGGTTTCCAGTTTAGTGAATGTAATCTGGGGGCAGTGATGGGTTAGGATCCCTGTGAGACAGGCTGACAATGCCCTGTCACTGCTCAGCTCGTCCTATTATTATCGGGAACTGTGTGTGATTTTTACTCGAACTTCCCCCAGTAAAGTATCAGAGAGTCTGCCTACTGCCCTCATCCCAGCCCTTAGATCACTGTTACCAGCACACCGATACAAAAGCACCGCGTCGTACATATATAAATAAAACAAAACATTACAAATCCTTACACGGTGTTAACGTTAATCCGCCAATCCCAACATGCACCCGCGGTGTGCCCTTATCCAAGATGGCTGCCAGGGTGTGGGCGCGGGGTCATGACGTCACTTCGCCCACGCTGAGCGACGCAGGCACGGCTGGCTGGCTGGCTGGCTGGCTTGTGCGCGGTGACGTCGTTACCTGTGCCGCGTGAACTGTCACACACCGGGACAGAAAGGAAGGGGGACACGTGAGCGAGCGGCCCTTGGAGATCCGGGTCACCTACCGGCACCAGGCTGACAGCAGGTATGTAGGGTGACAGCGGGTGAGAGGGGACTGATAGACCGAGTGTGTGGGAGCAGCCTGGCTCCAGCTCTGTGATCAGCATAGGGGAAATGTGAGCCAGTGTATTCTGTAATTACTCCTCCATGGGATATTATTATTA